TAATGTGATTTGACAATTCAATAACGTTTTTGAGCTTTCACTGACAATACTTATTAAAGATAATTTTAAGCGTGAAAACTGTCCATATTTTGATGTCATGATAATAATTTTAAGCGTGAAAATGATAAACACGTTTAGATTGAATGGTAATTTATAATCAGTCACAAGAACGTCGAATCTGAATCACTTGAAAAAAACACGGGGGTGCTTAACTTTTTTCCAGGTGTATACATAAGATAATGAAATAAATATAATTTCTTATTTTCAAGCAGTATAGATAAGTGTTAAATTTAACTGAAACTTAATTTTTTGCACTTAGGGTTAAACAGTATAAATATTTACAGATTCATATTAATAAATTTATCTATTTTCAGATCAAAACTTAGCCATCGCTGATTCCAACAGCAGTACTCCTACAAAATCATTCGTTCCCTGTAAGGTATGTGGAGATAAGGCTTCTGGGTACCATTATGGTGTGACGTCATGCGAGGGCTGTAAGGTAAGAACGTTTTCGTTAAGGCAATGCTTCAAACTACCTTTATCATGAAGACTGGGTCCAAAAGGTTGATATAAATGTTAACCCAGCATTGAATATAGTAAATTTCATACACCGTTCTTACTTATAATGATTAGAATGCATTAAATATTTGGTCAGGTACTCTTGCTGTTGGCGGGATTTATGGTCGTAATTAAAGTTGTTGTTATTGTTTTTCCTATATACTCTTAGATATATTCTTACTTAATGCAGGTTTTATAAAACATGAAATATCTTTAACCAGAGAAATTAGCACCCATAAAAACTTAAACAAGTACTTGAAGAACCATATAAAAATGTTGTAAAGAATAAAAAATATTTAAAGAATCCTGGAACAATCAGATGGGAGTTAAGCCTAACGTAAGGTTTAGAGTTTCTGGTTCATACATTTGGATTGTACTTTTCCACCTATTATTCAAGTAATACAATAAACTTCTGTTTTTAGTAACTAACTACTAGAATATGAACAATAACAAAATAAAATTTATCAAGATTTTATTTGGATTGTTTTTTGTTTTTTCGTAGCTGTAGGATCATCCATAACTCCTGTTTTTATGTTTTTTCTTTTGCCCATATTGCCCCCAGTGGCACAGCGGTATGTCTGCGGACTTACACCGCTAGAAATCGGGTTTCGATACCCGTTGTGGGCAGAGCACAGATAGCCCATTGTGTAGCTTTGTGCATAACTTCAAACAAACATTGCCCAATATTAAAATTTCAGACATAATTGATATAATTTAAAAGTCAGTAGTTTACTTAAAGTAAAGCACCTTTTGTCTACGTGTTTAGTTACTTAGTTTTCGGAACAAATAATGACAAAATTGACACGGCCAGCAAGTAATTAAAAAACAAAACTCCATAACATAATAAGCTGTTTGATATTCTAAAGGCGTGTCTGGACATTTCTAGTATGTAAAGAATGGGGCTTTGAAAAGAGATCAGGCTAACTCCTGAGAGTTCCCGTACTTTATAAAAAATAAGTAATACAATAACTAAACAAATGATGTATAGAGCAATACCTAAACACATTCAACGGTGTACTGAAACAAATCCATACTCGTCTGCGTTATTCCTAATTTCATACACTGAGATAGTATGGTATAATGGTGAAAATAAAAAAAAAGGAAATATATACGTAGAACTTAAAAGGCATATATATATACTATTAGTATAGTTATATCATAGTGTCGTAGTAGTTATAATTTGCAAGTTAAAAGTAGTAAATCCTAATACTTCTCAAACCTAGCATGTATGAGGATTTTTACACATAACTTGGATTGTACTTTTTTTACGGTTTCGTTTGAATAATAAATAAATACAACTATAGTGTGGTAAAATATGAAAATACAGGGAATTGTTAAACTCGTTACATAGTCAGCGTTTCGGCTAAACAATCTTCGAGTTCCGATGAGGACCACATATTTTTTTTTCAGCCTAACACTCTTTTTACTCATGAAACTAATAAATTGGAAGCTTCTAACTATTTATTAATGCTAGAAAAATAGCAGAGTTATCATTTTGAAGATAACTGTGTCGCATTTTTGTAATATACCACGAACCTTAACTCACAAGTATTTAGCCGATTTATAATTATAAGGAAATCCTTTATCGATTAGCAATAAAAGACGACCCTGGAAGCAAATTCCTACCGGTTACTTGAAAAAGAAGGTAAGAGAGTTGGAGAACAGTCATAACCAAAGTTATTTTTATCATTATAAGTTGTTGTTTTACAAACATTTATTTTCATCAATCGTGGAACAATCGATGAAAATACGTTTCGTATTATTTATCGAAACACGTGGTCAAGTGGGAAGTAAAACAAAAGCAAATAAAAATTTTCCATCAGTGGCGTTATGAAAATTTCGGTTTCACTGTATGTAGCGTTGATATCATACATACCGTATAATAATCGATGATATAACAGTACACTTGATATCATATGTTATGCCAACGTAGAGCTATATAGATACCATAGTTGATAGTTAAACTTATATAGAGATATGTTACTCGGTTAATTAAGGGCTTTGTTTGATAAACGTTTTGGAATAACCAAGCTTGTTCCAAATAAGTTTTATTTACAAATCTATTTCAATTTGCATACTTAAATGTTTTTCACGTTCAAGCTGAATCATTGTACTTCTGCTATCATTAATATAATAATTGTATTTATTAAAAAAATATATATATTCCACTCATACACACACCCACACACTCACGTGTTATTACAATAGATTTGGGTTATGTTGAAATTAGTCATTCAGTGTTAGCAACCCTGCCATCCTATTTCATGAGTCTAAAAACAAAACGTTTTTGGCGTTATTAATTACGAATAGATCTTTGTTGTGGTATAACCTAGAATCAAACTATTCGACTTGTTTATGCACGTGTTATTACCGGTCCTTTCACTTTCACTTGCCCTCCGCTCATGCACGTGCTTCTTTGTACTCAGGTACAGGTAATACAGCAGAGAGTAGAAGTGGGGAAATGGGCCGTACAACCAGATTTCAGACGATAGTGAAAACGAGAGCACGGATCTAGGCCACGTCACTTTTGCTGTAACTAAAACGTGATGCTAAAACATAAACAAGTGTCAGCCTTTTCAACAAGATATTTGATTCCGTAAAAGTTTTCCTAGTCGAAATCTTGCTCACCATCTTTTCCTTTTAGAAACCTTTAAGTGTTTAAAATACCCCAATTTTCTTGCTTAATTATTTGTGGAAAAGAAATGTTAACGACTTCTCGAAGAAATCTTTATATTTACTTCTTTTTTAATATATATTCTAAGTCATGTAGTTAACATAAAAGTTTATCACGAACTTTCAGCTGAAACGGCTTAATCATGAATGAAATATCCCATTTCTTTCCCTCTCTCTCTCTTCTCTGTACACCTAACTTTTATACTAACCCAAATGAAATACTTAACTTAGACACGTGCGTAAAGTAACTTAAATTTTCGAAAAGAATTAGCTAAACTGAGCCGAATTTAACCCAGGGCCGACGATAGCTGTAACAGGGGGCCCTAGGAAGAAATAAAGGTGACCCCTACTCACCCTGGAACACCCGAATATTTGGAGCCCTAGGCCAGCGGTGTGCAAACTTTTTTATGGCGCCCCACTTTCTAAACATGCGCTTTGTTGACCCCCCCCCCCCCATCCTGCATAATCTATTTGTGTATACAATGTACGTGCCATTTTCCAGTGTTAATTGTCGTTACTATATCATTTAAGAGTTGCAATATTTGTATGGTAGTTTTTTTCTCTTTAGATTCTTTGTGCTTTAATATATAATTTGTATGTTCCTATAGTCATAGTTATCAGCCCCATACAGACTCTCCGCGCAAAAGAGGAGCGCACCCCACAGTTTGGGCAACACGACCCTAAGCGGCCACCTATGTTACCTATTCGTAATGCGAAGCCTGATTTAACTTTTTTGTACTTTGGCTGACTAGGTATTACAACGATAAAAAATGTCAACTAGCCGCATTTGTCACTGAACTTTCAGTTGAAAACTACATTTTTATATGTAGACTGTGTTATAATTCACTTCAGAATATTTTTTAAATATTTAAATATTTACTTCAGAGTTTTACGGCATCCATTGAGACTATAAATATTCGAAAAACAAATATTTTTATTATGCATTCAAGCTGTTTAATCTAGAGATGTACTTGTAGATTACCTAGTCAGATCTATGTCTGAGTTAAATGTGCTGAACACAAATCTTGTCCTATTTTCTGTAAAGGTGGCGTTTTAAATAACGTATAGAGCCTGTCATATAAGTTGGGATTCGTTTCTAGCTCTTTTCAGTTCTTTATATTTCTGTGCCAATTTGTTTTTTGTCGAAAGGCTTGTACGATAATTTGTTTTGCCCATATAAAAAAAGTGTTCATTTATCCATCTACTAAGTACATCTACATGTCGGAACGTGCAAATATTTTATAATGTGTCAAACACGCCCCGCAGTCGCACAGCGGTAAGTCTGTCAGCTTATGACGCTAAAAATTGGGTTTCGATACCCGTGTTGGGTAAAGCACAAATAGCCCGTTGTGTAGCTTTGCGCTTAACAACAACAACAAAAATTATACTTCTAGATTGAGAGTCTCTGAAGATTCCAGGTAAATCACAAGACAACGTAGTAAATAATAGTGCTAACCCTTGATTTACTAAGACTGACAACGTAGTAAGTAATAGTGCTAACCCTTGATTTACTAAGACTGACAACGTAGTATGTAATAGTGCTAACCTTTGATTTACTAAGACTGACAACGTAGTAAGTAATAGTGCTAACCCTTGATTTACTAAGACTGACAACGTAGTATGTAATAGTGCTAACCTTTGATTTACTAAGACTGACAACGTAGTAAGTAATAGTCCTAACCTTTGATTTACTAAGACTTACACATATTGGAAGAGCAAAATAACATCAGGGATGTAACTTAAAATAATAAAATTATGGTCACAGCCCAATATTCCGAAGGACCAATGTTCTAAGAGACCGATATTCCGATTGGTCGTAGTTCCGAAGGACCGATATTCCGAAAATTGAACGTAAAAGCAACTACTCTTGTAGGCCTAATGTTCATTCAGGTTGTTTTATATTACATAAACAGTAGTGTGTGTATAATGTTATATTAGGGACATAAGCCGATAACATTTTGAGATATATTTGTAAGAAGTCCAGAAACCGATATTATTCTTACCAGAAAGCAAAGTCCAGTACATGGAATTTTTCGGAATGCCGCTCTGTCCCCAAATTTATGTATGCGCCCCTTGCAACTCACTGGTAAATCTATGGGAATATAACACTAAAAAAAAACGATTTCGATACCAGCAGTGGTCATAGCACACACAGCCCATTGTATAGTTTTGTCTTAACGACAAACAAGTAAGCAAAACTTTTGTATGTATTCAGTACAAGAATTACAATTTTATGAACAGAGAAATGTCTAATACATACATGTATAT